GGTGATGCCCAGCTCCCTGACACCCGCTCTCTTGTGTAGACTCAGATGGGCCAAGACCGAAGTTAGCCAGCGGCTACCGTGTATCCTGTGGCCTCTGGGGTTGCTGTGTGTGGGGGGCCCACTGGGCAGCCACTAGCAATGACAGTGACACAGATGGGAAGTCAAGGCCGTGGCTGCAGCCCTTGTGCAGAGTCCGACTGGAAGTGTGTCAGGTGACCCTGAGGCCCTACATTTCTCTGGGCGGTGACTGTCCGCTTCTCTGCTGCACCCCCTGGCTGAGGCTGCCCACGACGTCTGGTCTTTCACCCCAGCACCCCTCATCCCCAGGTCTGTCCATCTTTGTTGTCCTGGCAGTGGGATGGGGTGAGGGCAGGGCTGGCCACTGACAGAGGAAGGGCTTAGCCAGCTGCCAGCTGGCTGGACCTGGCACCCGGCCACCCAGCCGTGCTACTGGCCACCCGGACGCGTGCCGGTTGGTGCTAGGTGGGAGGAGGCCTGGGTCCTCGGCCGGGTTCCAGCTGGCGTCGGGGAGGGCTGGCTGGGGTCTCCAGGGAGGGAGTGCAGGAGGCCCAGTCTGAGGAGGGGCTCTGGGGGCAGCTGAGAATTTTCCAGGCTGGAAAATAGCTCCCTGGCCCCTGGCCCCTGGCCCCCTACCCACTGGCACTAAATGTGTGTCGGAATTTCCTTGACAGCCCGACCCTGGGACAGCAGCCCGCCCAGTGGTCAGGGTCCCTTCCTGGACCTGTTTTTAACTCCGGAAATGATGGCTGCCCTTGGTCACACCCAGGGCACTGTGTTTGAGGACAGCAGTGGTGGAGGTGTGTGGCCACAGCCCCTGGCCGCTGGGACACTGTGGGCATCACCCCCTAGCCCAAGTCCTGCTTGCCCACCGTGACCTTTTCAGTGGGACTTCTGAGAGATGGGGGCTGGGGATCTGGTGCTGGAGGCCACAGGATCATCCTGTGGTCTGGGGTCTGGTGAACGGTAAGCCCGGCCATGTGTGTGGGGTCTTCTCAGCTCTGGCTCTGCTCCTGGGGGCCTCACTGGCCCTGGAGTCTCTTCTTACCCCCACCAGAGGAGAAAATGAAAGGATTACTTAACACAACTCGAGTCCTGAGACAAGAATAAACGTCGGCATTATAAGCTGTAGGGACGTCCCCAGAACCCGGGCGCCTGACGGGTGGGCTGTGCACAATGCTAAATTGAATCAAATGAAGAAAAACATTTTCCAAATGCGAGTAAAATATCTATTTAATTAGGTCGTACAGAGGAAATCGAGAGTCATATTTTGTTTGGGGTAATTACTGTTGTTTGGAAGGTGCTGGGCTTGGAGGGGTAGGCAACATGTGGACCAGGCCATCAAGGGTTAAATTCCTGAAACTGGGGTGACTCTGGGGAGTTTGGGAGGGTGGGCCCTGGAGCTGCTTATATCTGAAGGAGAGACTTGCTGGGGAGGGTCCGGGCCTTCCAGCCGGATGCCTGCTGGGCCTAGGAGGGGCAGGAAGTGAGGCCAGAGCTTAGAGGAGGAAGGGCAGGACTGGCCTTTGTCCAGGTTGGCTGGGCCTGGGGTGGGAGGGAGGTATCCTTCCAGGCTTCAGTCCAGAGCAGCTGGTGGTGAGGAGGTGTGGGCTGTACCCCAGGAGAAGCGCCCCCTCCGCAGACCTCCCTCCCCGGGCCAGGGTGGTGCCTGTCCTGCCTCCCAAGCCTGCAGGGCCACCTCACACTGTCTGAACCCCTTCCCCTGACAGCAGTTCAGGGAGCTTGGGGTCCCAGTGCTGTATATGAGCTGGCCTGCGTCATACGTCCTTGGGTCCAGGCAGTGAAGACCAGCCCCTCTGATGGGCCCAACCCAGTTTTGGTGCAGGGTCCCTGGGGGCCTGGGTCAAATGGCCACAGTGGTTCTTGTTAAGGCTCAGCTCCAGTGGCCCAGCTTGGACACCTAGGGCCTTGCCTTCTTCCCAATGCTAAGACTGCCAACATCCAGATCTCCCCAGCCTTCACCCCAGGACAGGCCTCCCCAGATCTCCCCCAGCTTTCACCCCAGGACAGGCCCCCCTGATTTCCCCCAGCCCTCACCCCAGGATAGGTCCCCTTCTGATCTTCCCCAGCTTTCACCCCAGGACTGCCCACCCCCCACGGATCTCCCCCGTCCTCACCCTAGGACAGGCCCCCCAGGTCTCCCCGAGCCTGCACCCCAGGACAGGCTTCTCTTGGGCTCTGCCCTCCTTCCCTTTCCTCACGAGGACAGATACC